CCCCCCCCAGAAGGGGGTTCCTTCAATCCAGCTCTTTGTTCCCACCCCCTCGTGGACACATTTCCACCCTACTCAGCGAAGCCGCCCGCTGCGATCTGCTTCTGCTGGGCAGTCTGACCTCAGATTCCCTTTCTTCCCTTATGTCAGCTGCCACCCCTATCCCCAGCTTTGCCTCCGAGCTCCGGTTCCCTCCTGACTCAGTGTCCCCCACCTCCCTGCACCTTGCCCCCCACACCTGGGCTCTCAGCCTGGGTTCCGGGCTGCTGGCTCCGCTCTGAGCCAGCACGCATTAGCATAAACAAACACCTTCATTTACATAGAATACGCAGAGGTTGACATCTGGTCTACCGACTGTCATAAAAGGACTCAGAACAGGAGCTTCTCACCAGGGAAACTTTGCGGGGAGAAGGCTGCCCTCCTTCCCTCCCTTCCGTGCTCAGGGGGGCACCGTGTCAATGGAACAGCGGGGGCCTGTCTTCCCTTGGGAGCGATTCCCTTTGTTTGTAACCCGGCTAGACTGGAAAAACAGCCCCTCTACGGGCACTGGTGCTGAGCCACAGTCGCCTGGAGTGACATATTTAGGTGACATTCATAGGGATCAGTTATAGGGCCGACCTGCTTCAGTGACTTGTGTGCAGGCAACACGCTCAGGGGACAGCCCCATAAAGACACAGGCTCAGGAGACACGCGTAGCTGGCAGCCGCCCAGGTGATGTAATAAGTTAATAGTGACATGGCGGGCACGCAGGTGGAGACGCGCAGGCAACCGCCATGTGGGGGACACACACAGACGCGTTTATGTGACAGCAGCACAGGTGATGTGTTTAGGCCATTGCTCCACTGATGGCACGCTCAGGTGACAGGAACATAAGCGGTGTGTGTGGGCGACTCATGTGGATGACACAGCACAGGTGGTCGAAGACGTGACGCCTGGACTGGCGCCTTGTGAAGAAAGCGGCTTCCCACTTGGGACTGTTTCTACAGACTCGTGTGGTCCTTCACGGGGCTCCTTAGCTCTCCCAGCGGGTCCCGGTCCTGCTGCTGGGCACCACCGTCCACCTCCGCCACCACTCAGGGACTTGAGCACGTCCTGGTACTGCTCTATCTCCTAAATGCATCCTGGATTGCATCCACTTCCCTCCAGCCCCACGGCCACCATCTTTGTTCACCTGGAAGGAGGGCCGGATGGCCAACTGGTTTTTCTGCCCTCACTAATCTTCCTCAGATCCGTTGTGCGGGTAGAACCCAGATCTTTGCAAATGCAAATAGAATTAATGGCACTCCCCTACCTAAAGTCCTTGGGAGACTTCTCTGGGCTCTTCAGATAAAGACGGGAATCCTTATCTTGGCCAACCAGGCCAGCGTGGCTGCTTCCTGCCACATCTCCAGCCACCTCTTAGCCTCGTCCTCCTCTAGCTACGATGGCTTTCTGTCTTTCCATTCCTCTCATGTGCCAGGTGCCTTCTTAAAAAATAAACTTAATTTTGGAATCGTTTTAGATTTACACGAAAGTTGCCCAGAGAATAGAGCATTCTCACCCATCCCTCACCCGATTTCCCCCATGGTTAACCTGTTCCAAGACCACAGTATAGCTGTCAGACTAAGAAACCAACACTGATACGTCACTGTTACCTCAAGCCCACACTCCTTCCGGATTTCCCCAGTTTTTCCACTAATGTCCTTTTTCCGTTCCAGATTCCCATCCAGGACCCCTCAGAGGTGACCCTTACAGGTGCATTTAGCCCAGTGCCTTGTTTGACTCAGCGCTTTTGCTTGTAATGTTCTCTCTTCCTGGGGCTGCTTCATTTTCTTTCCCTGGCGGTATCCTTCCGATTACAAAGGAATGGTCGCTTTCTTAGCCACCACCCGGACCAGGTGGGTGTGGGGGATTGGTGGCATTGCTGGCCCTGATTAACAGCCTCCCTGCATCCATGCCTCTTGCAAACAGCCTCGATAGTTTCTCCTACCTAGGAGTGGAGTCTCTCTCCCTATTCTTGGCCTTATGACTTGCGGGTCATAAGGTTGGAAGTGACAGTGTACAAATTCCAAGCCTAAGTCTCAAAAGAACTCTCTCTCTCTCTGTAGCCCCACCTCCCCCTCTCACTCTCTCTCCCTTTCCCTGCTTCTTCCTGAGAACAAGCCTCTGATGTGGACAAGAGCTCATGGAGACACGGAAAGAGACCCCAGCTGGCCCAGCCTTTCCAGCCAAGGTCACACTCAGGAGTGAGCCGAGCCAACCCCGACTCACGAGCAATCATTTATGGTTGTTGCTTGATGCCCATCCAGGCTTGGGATGGCTTGTTATGCGGCAACAGCTAACTGATACAGCAGTACTGGTCTAAACTGTAACTTGATGACTCTCCTCTGTGACTCTCGATCACCCTCCTCCCCTGCCACGCACGGTAAGCTCTGCAAAGGTAGGGTGTGCCCCTGTCTGGGTCGCCAGCATGTCCCACGGCCTCGTGTGGCACTTGCCACCATGGTAGGTACTCGGTCGACATTCAGTAAATGGGCGGCCTGGAGCGAGCACGGAGAAACCCGTCTCCCCCTGTGCTGGAGAGCAGGCACGGAGTCTCATTCTTACCTGCGGACCCCAGGGCTTCCAGGGAGCTGCTTTGATTTGGACCCAACGCCTCATCCGAGCTTGTGCGCTCAGTGTCGTCCTTCTAAAGTGGATTAAGCAGCCCAGAGATGCCCTCTCCCCAGATTTGAGCGGCATTGATCTGCATGCTGCATAAAAGGCCTTGCACAGATAGCGGGGCCCCGAGGGGGCTGGGGTAAGAACACCAACTCTCATCAGCGTTGGGCTCCGATCAATAAACTATTAATAACTGCAGAGGTTTCTGGCAAAATCAGTGTAATGCAGTTTAGCGGCTGGAGTTTACCAACACTGACAGCAGCTTCGAAAGCCACGTAATTGTGTTTTTGAGAAACTGGAGACCCAGATAGTGGGGGCCCCGCTGGCTGTCCCCGGGGGCCGCCGGAGTTCGGGTTAGGCCATGCAAGGGCTGGTCCCTGGGGTTTCTGCCAGGCCGAGGGCTAGCACAAGTATGTGCGCCTACTGTGTGTCATGCCTCGTGCCGAGGCTAGGGGCCGAGCGGCCGATGCAGAGATGCCAAGGACTTGGTTCCTGCTCCCCTGCCTTTGCCTGGGCTGTTCCCTCTGCTTGGACCCGTCTTCCTCTCTTGGCCACATGGCAAGCCTCTAGCCATCTTTCAGAGCCCAGCAGGTGGGTCTGACTTTCCCCACCTGTGATCTCACCCCATCAGAGAGTTGGGTTTAGCTCAGAGCTGACACGGCGTGAGAGACCAATGGGCTAGAATCACTACGTACCGCAATCCTTAGGTTCTACATCGAATGCCACCTCTTCCAGGAAGGCTGCCCTGACTGCCTGCTCCCTGTGCCAAGGCTGCATGCCTGGGGGCACCTACCTGTCCACAGCATGCTACATTGTTACCTGTTTGTCCTCCCTCCCAGGGAAGCATAGAAGCTCCTTGAACGTGAGCCTGGCCACGCGGTGGGTGCTCAGGGAAGAGCCACCGTGCGGATGAAGGCAGCGGAAGCAGTCTAGGCCAGGAGGTAGGTGC